AATATGATCAGCTGTGCAAGTTAATGGAAGTACCCACGGACTATATTAGTCCGTATCGTCACAGACAGTGACTAGAGTCTTGTTTAACCCTTCAAGGGAAGAAAATGTTTTCTTTTGTGGTGTTAAACCTACAGGACCACTGTGGAGCGATTGGGGAGCAACATTTTTTTGCCTAGGGTGGCAAAAAGCCTTGCCCTGCCGGGATCCTCTATCTCTCTGGATGATTTTCTGTCAACTAAACTGACTCAGTTCATATAACAGTATCTGCCACATAGGTTACACACTGTTACATAACCCATATCTGTTTTTCATAAAACACGGTTCACTTACTGAACTAGAACCCTCAACTTGTCCTTTATTTGTTAAAACTTGTATTAGCTCATATGTACTTTTGTCTTTTTCCTTGGATCAACTGTACCCATGTACAGAGTTGTTCAATGTCTTGGTGTTATGGCACTGTTTAGTAGGTAGCTCCCCTAATCTGATACCCTTGTGTGGGATTGCCCCATATAGCAAACTAGGGGGGAGCTACCTAGATACATTTAACTTAAGGCAACACAAATTAGCAATACAAATATATGCAAATTATCTAGCTTAAATATTTTCACAACAATGGAAATAACAAAGAACGTCAATGGTAGTGAAACTCTCAGAAGACCATCTGTTACAGTCCAGTAATCTAAACATGCAAACATCAGCTAACTGATATTTAATTACATATAAGTACATGTCGTGAGTATCATTACCATTGTATTAAACTTTTCAGTGGTTACTCATAAAATTAGATTTGTTATATTATTAAACACTGAACTGTAATGCATTAAAAAGTGAATTGCAAAATGTGGACTATAATGTTCAAGCTTTGTCCATAGTAGAGATGGAGGATGGTTTCAAAACTGCTGGTCAGTGGAGTCAACATTTGCCCTTTGGGCCACTAGTATAGCGAGATGTGTGGGCTCATTACTAAATAATTATCTTCTCATTTTTGTATTCCAGACATTTTATTATAAGTATAAAACATTTAATGCAAAATAAAGAAAGGGAATTGAGTGTGATGTGATACTGTACTGGTTTGGCCTCAAACTGGACAATTTTTTGTTGTTGCAGGTCAGTTATAGCCAGACCACAGCTGCTGGTGTTGTATAGAATTTGCAAATTATCTCTCTTATATTTTGTGTTTGTTGAATAAATCCAAATGGTATTACTTGCTAAACACTGAATTGCAGTGAAACTGGAGCCATAGCAGAATATGACTACAATTACCTGTAGTGGTTGGATTCTGATGCTAGTAGTAAACCAGCCATGTTCCCGGTAAGGGGTAAACCATTTTTGAATCTTTTACCCTATTCCCGGGAACAGGGATTTTGCAATGGTATACATTCTTACCTTGTCTTGCTGGGCGCCAAAGGATCTTGCTTACTGGGTGTGTTGTGAATCCAGCTTCTGCTGATCCGCTGCCCATTCATTGGCTGAGAGCATCAGCTGACCGCTTTCAGCCAATGAATGCAATACTTTGCATAGAAACATGAACAGAATTAACATTAGCCAGCCCAGAACTCTTGTACCAGGTTGGACAATAAAGCCCCACTGATGCTGTTGGAGCTACTAATAGTAAATGACATGGCCCAAGGTGGAGTGACACTTCAGGCATCAAAGGGTTTAATCTATTTATGTGCAGTGTTTCACAGCAAAACACTGCACAGAATCCAGGCACCATGACCACTGCAAATTTCTGAAGTGGTCGTGATACTTGGAGTAACCCTCTAAGCTTATATTTTAATGTAATATACCTTGGGCTGAATTTTTTTTAAATTTTCGCAGTTCCTTCATTTAAGTAAATGTGAAAATTGTTAGCAGTGTAACCATTTACAATATGAAATACAGCTAAAATATAAGGTAGGTGAGACACTGGATAAAAACCTTCAAATACATTAAGAGATTTAATAAAATTGAAGAAGGAAGCATTTTCAAAAAAAAAAAAAGTTATAGAATACAAAAGTGTTGATTTTGTTGATTTTAAGTTGTTAGTGGAAGACTTGTAGGAAATTGAAGAAAAGCTCTTTACAAATACCGGTATGTTAGTAGACATATGTAATCGCTGTATAAGCAAAATAATAAAGTGTACACAAAATAGAACTTTAAAAATGCTTGGAATGTGCCTAAGGCCATTCAGGGTACCAGTGTAGTGAGAAAGCATGGGAACACTACTCCCTTACTATATTTGGAAAGAGGACTGCATTCCAACATTACCAGTTTTATAACTTGTGTTCAGAAATTGCCACCCAGTAGAAGTTGGAGTCTGTAGCTACTAACTCCTCATGACGTTGGGGAAGGATTGTTCCTCTGGCACCCCATGTTTTGTGAGGTGGTGTGAGAATGGAATATTTGCTCATTTACATGTTTCTCTTTGCACCATTTACAATGGTGGACCTTTAGGGAGCATGATTATAGTATAAGAATAATGTCATATGCCAACATTAAAGGACCACTATAGTGCCAGGAAAACATACTCGTTTTCCTGGCACTATAGTGCCCTGAGGGTGCCCCCACCCTCAAGGTCCCCCTCCCGCCGGACTCTGGGGGGTGGAAGAGGTTGAACTTACCTCTTTTTCCAGCGCCGGGCAGCTCCTCTCCTCCTCCTCTCCTCCTCTTCGGCTTAATGCGCATGTGCGGCAGGAGCCGCGTGCGCATTCAGACAGTCCATAGGAAAGCATTCACAATGCTTTCCTATGGACGCTGGCGTCTTCTCATTGTGATTTTCACAGTGAGAAGCGCGGAAGCCCTCTAGCGGCTGTCAATGAGATAGCCACTAGAGGCTGGATTAATCCATTTATAAACATAGCAGTTTCTCTGAAACTGCTATGGTTATAGAAAAAAGGGTTAACCCTAGCTGGACCAGGCACCCAGACCACCTCATTAAGCTGAAGTGGTCTGGGTGCCTATAGTGGTCCTTTAAGCATCTTGAAGGAACTACACTGTAGAGGAAATGGAAACAGGAAACTCAATGCATAAATAGTTGGGAAATTAGGAGTGGTGCTCATTTATTGTTGTATTATACCTTGCATCTTGCTAATTATTTTGGACAGATGTAATATAGGAGATCAAACACAACTTAATAGGTAAACACCAAAAAGCAATGATGAGTAACTACTAAAGTTAATGAGACCAGATGTGACTACTATAACCACTGTGTCACTGTAGAAATAGCCGCCACCTACGGTTGAAAATACAAGTACTGGGTGCCTATTGAGTTAACAGTAGTGATTACAGGACTCTGTGGAGATGGAGCTTCAATTGTAGCTTCAGGATGTATTCAGAAAGTAACATAAAAATGTATCAGCTACTTATACCATTTCCTCCCATATAGAAGGGTAGGAAAAATGAAAATGGCTGAAATATTGGTGTAGTAGGGGTTCTGTAATACACATGAACCGGTACACATTAAGATAAATACAATAATTGGGAAAATAAATTGTCCCACTTATGGTTAAAATCCAAAAGCTGTGTCAGTTATATAGTGTAGCCGACAGAGTGCTTACTATAAAAGATTTTATTAGCACAAATACACTGTCAAAATCATACACATATATATAAAAGACAAATAAATGTTCCAAGTGAAAAAAGCAGATTATACCAAGTTAACAGTCTGAGGGTCCAATGTTGTTAATATCTCTCTCTCACGGGCCGGATAAAAATGAGATCTCTCTCACCGGCCGGATGAAAATGAGCATGTAAATGAGATGTAATATAGGGACTGAGGTACAGAAATATAGAGTGTGGGAGCAGGTGAGAAACTAATGGATATTGACCCATAAGGGAGGGGAGAGCTAAAGGGAGGGGGGCTGAGAACAGTGAAGAGGGGAGCCAAAGGAGAGATGTGTAATAGAGTTTAGATACACAAATAAATAGGAAGTTGAGAGAGAGAGAATAGCAAGGAGAAATTGATAAAAGGAGGAGACTAAAAAGAGACCGAGAGACAGAGTGGAGACAACAGAGTTAAATATTGAGCCACAAACTTTGGAAAGGCAGGAATTAACAGGAAATATGTTTGGAGACAGAAATAAGATAGGAGGTTGGTAACATCTGCAAAAAAAGAATCCATCACTCACAATGTCCAAAGCTAGTTGGTCTATAAGGAGCATATTAATCTGATTAAGGGTTTTATCCAAACATAATATACATGTGTATTACTAGCAATTTAAATGAGAAAATCAGGCTAGTACATAGTTCTTGACCATGACACCACTCACATTGAGGCACAACTATAATGTGATGCAGATAAACTGAAAGAGTTAATTAAATTAAAGGAACACTATAGCATTAGGAATACAAGTATGTATTTCTAGCACTAAAGCGCCTTAGTCACTGAATAGGTGACCTGGCTAGTGCCGCCAGGGTTAAAAAAGCTGATTTACTTACCTCTCAAACTTCACAGTTCTGATGTCCACAATCAAGCACCACCTCTTTGGCTGAGATCATGAATGTTGATGATCTCAGCCAATCCAATGCTTTCGCATTGGGAGGCTAATGCACATGTGCGGCAAAAGACAGCTCTGAGACCATTTTACTAAAATAGCCGTTTCATCTGTTATTTTGCAGAAGTGCCTCTAGTGACTCACATAATGACAGCCACAAAAGGCAGGGTAACCCTATAATGGGACATTGTTATTCCTGCAAGGCTAGTGTTTTGAGCTGCAGGGTAAATGGGGGGTTAGGGGAGCACACGGCACCCACTTCTTTGTGACTCCCATCTGTGAGTCTCTTCCTGGTGAGACTGGGGTCTACCTGATGCTGCCGCCGTCAGCTTCTCTAAGTTGTGCCTTCAGTATCTTAGAATGCAAGTATTTTGTATTTAATTTTTTTGATAATTTTTGTTTATTGCATTACCATAATGCATTCAAAACCATAATATGGGTTTTATTATAATACTTTCATGATGTACTATTATCATTACTCAAAATATGTAAGCTGCTTTAAATTATTGCTGGCAGTATAAAAGTCTTGAATTAAAAGGATATGCCAGGTATTATGACCAGTACAACACAATTTAGAGGTTCTGGTGCCAGGAGTCCCCTGGCGCCATGCCACAGTTAGCATTCAAACTATTTATGACCAGCATATCAACGCTTGACATTAGTCATTGACTGATACTGTCTACACACACTGTCAACCAAAGAATAATGTCCAAAGGTACACAAAATTGATGTTGGTAATTCAGTAGTATGAAGTAAGGTTTTTAGCATATCAGTGCAGAATTGAAAGTCACCACCTGCCCAATAGAGCCAGGTAAGTGCCACACCATTCATAAACAGTATGACAGTATATCACGGGATGCATTAGGGGGCACTTCAACACCACAGTGCACTGTAGTGGTTATGTTGCTTAGAGAATACTTTTAAGTGTTCTGATGATGACCTATGCATATCTGTTGCTCTAATTCTTGTGATTTGTTAATAACGCTAAATGATAAGTAACTGCTGGCAGTAATTAACATTACATATGGTTTGCAGCCCCCATAGCATCAATCAAGCTGCTTTCTTGTGACTTAATTTTCTGCACACCCCCCTTTTCCTTTTCCTGCATTCACTAACTGTAACGGATCGCCTGGCACCCCGACTGGGTACCTCCATTAAAGGATGCTCCTAGCGCTTCCTGAGGACTCCAAGCACTGCAGCAGACACCACAACCACCGAACCGGAGAAGCATATGAATCCTGTCAAGCATATGAATTCTGTAGACAGTTGAATAGGAACCATACGAATAGGTTTGCTCTCCTAGCAGTCAAACTGGAACAGCATACAATAAATCCTTCCCCCAATAATGAGACGACACTTCACTTTGAGGGTTAAGCAGGAACTCTTGTACTGTCACATACAGTCTCTTTTATTCCCAATCCACAAACATAGTACAGCCCACAGGGCGTTACAAAACAGCCAATCAATCCATACAATACACCCAGACACTCCCACACAAAATCCTCCCCTCTGCAGGTGATATGATTACTGAACACAATGGGTAATCTCATTATCACCGGCAGAGGAATACAGTTTTTACACAATATTTATAACTTCTAAAATATACATGTCACAAACATAAAACATACATTTTCATAATCAATCCATTCAGGGAACAACATATTAAAAAATGGCACGAATCAGACCAGGGGTTCAAAAGTTAAGGGAAAGTCCTTTGTGACTAAATGAAGCATGGCTTTCTGGCCCAAACCAGTTTCAGAGTCTTCTATCCTGGAGAGTAATTCAATTATCTCCCAGGATAGACACAAGACTCCATTAAGCACATGGTTGCAAAAAGACACAAAACACTTTAAAATACATAAAGTCACATTTACACATAACACACAGACATTTCACATATCCCCAGATAGCTGGGATCTGAGTGCACATTATTAGATGAATGGCACTCAGATCACACAAATAAGCCTTTCTGCAGGGGAAATAAACGGTTTAACCTGCAGGGCCATAGTCCAAAGGGAGCAGGCGAGCAACCAGGCTTCTCCAGTTCACAGTGGCGAGGTTGGTTTCGCCACACTTCTCCCCTTTACCAACTAGACTAACAGGGTATCTTACCTCCTGCCGGTCAGTGCCCTGGTTAGTCCAGCAACCCACCCACAAAACAGAAACAGCAGTACAGCCCACCCACAATAACTGGTTACTACACCTGGGTAGAGGAGAACTTTGTCCATGTCCAGGTGCCTCACCACGACTGTGTGGGCAACTGTTAGGCTGCCTTGGTGGGTTGCTGAGTGGGCAGAGACCAGCGGTACTCTGCCCTGATGCCAGTGCTACCACGGAAGTAGCCTGGTGGGAGCCTGGTTGTGGGAGGGAGAGACCGACTGTCTCCCCTCTGGATACACTGCTCTGTGGCTGGGGAACAGGACCGACTGTCCCTACCCCTTGTGCTGTAAGTGCAGAGACTACAGTCCCATCTGCACTGTTGGGGGGCGTTACAAAACAGCCAATCAATCCATACAATACACCCAGACACTCCCACACAAAATCCTCCCCTCTGCAGGTGATATGATTACTGAACACAATGGGTAATCTCATTATCACCGGCAGAGGAATACAGTTTTTACACAATATTTATAACTTCTAAAATATACATGTCACAAACATAAAACATACATTTTCATAATCAATCCATTCAGGGAACAACATATTAAAAAATGGCACGAATCAGACCAGGGGTTCAAAAGTTAAGGGAAAGTCCTTTGTGACTAAATGAAGCATGGCTTTCTGGCCCAAACCAGTTTCAGAGTCTTCTATCCTGAGAGTAATTCAATTATCTCCCAGGACAGACACAAGACTCCATTAAGCACATGGTTGCAAAAAGACACAAAACACTTTAAAATACATAAAGTCACATTTACACATAACACACAGACGTTTCACATATCCCCAGATAGCTGGGATCTGAGTGCACATTATTAGATGAATGGCACTCAGATCACACAAATAAGCCTTTCTGCAGGGGAAATAAACGGTTTAACCTGCAGGGCCATAGTCCAAAGGGAGCAGGCGAGCAACCAGGCTTCTCCAGTTCACAGTGGCGAGGTTGGTTTCGCCACACTAACATATTCCTGAAGACTATTATTCCATCTGACAGGCTGAGTATACTTGAAATTACGGTGCATCAACTGTTGCAAGCAGGGTTAAGCCTCAGGGAATTCTCTAAATCAGAATAAACAAACAGCTGGAGTGCCAGAAGGTAGCTATTACATGCATGACGTTTTACAATCCATTTAAACTTCCCATCCCCTTCTACATACCCAAAGGTTTTTGTGATTTTATCACACACTTTCTACATATCTCTCCTAATTCCATTGCTTTCGCTTCCTCTATTTAACGCATGAATAAAGTATTTTATACACAAACATAATATGTACATTACAATATATATATTTTTTTTATCTTTTAACATTTTCACTACTAAGTTGTTTGCAAACATAAAAAACACCACTGGAAAGAGTGTGTCTGGCAATGTGTATCAGTACCTAAGTGATGCACACTTAGTATCTACACCGTATATAGTGTATATAGTATATACACATTGTTTATCTGTGCATGTGCCTGAGTATCCCAGTACATTAGGATCTAAAGAAAGATACAAGGAAACAATTGTAACAAAGGCACAGTAATGAGAGATAGTTAGACATATTACCAAACCTTAGAGTGGCTGGATTTAAAGCAAAGCAGAATCTATGAAGTAATGCTATGAAGAAGCAGAACAATGAAAAATATAAACAGCAATAGTAAAATATACTAAACATTGGTACAGGGTCACTGGAACTCAGGGCCAGGAACAATCTGGGCCTGGTATACATACAGAAACAGGAGTATAACAAAGGCAAAAGTAGCCAGGATCTGGTACACTTGGTAATACTAGGCTGGGTCAAATAATTAGAATAAGGAACACGGACAAACACTCTGAGACCACAAAAGGGTACTGAACAGCTAGCTGCATAACCCAGGCATTTGTAGTCCTGGAGAATTTACTTGACAGCCACGCTCCAAAATCTGAGTGGGTATAACAATGATATCATGACACTGGAATTACATAATCACATTATAAAAAGGTGTGGAACTGCAGTGTCTAGCCTCAAAACCGCTGGCAAAAGTGTCTGAGGTTGTTTCCTGATGCAACTCCTATGTCTAAGAATCGGGTGGTCTGAAATATGTAAGGAAGATTTTTCTTTGGCTGTTTCCCCTTCTTTATGTACTTTGTGGAATAAAAATTTCCTTTTTTATTCGGAGCACTTTTTTCTTTTTTTCTTTGCATTACTCATGCAGAGCCCCAGAACTGTGGCAGAACTGATTGCAGGAGTGTCAACAAGGGAGGCTTCATTACATTATTCCTCCCAAAGAACAATCCACCGGGTTATTCCTTCTAGGTTTAGAAAGTTCTTGACTAGCAGGGGTACATGAAGGTCACTGGAACTAGTCCAAGATCTTTTCTCTGCACTGTATCCCTTCCAGTTGACCAAATATTGATGCCTGCCTCGAGAGATACAGAAGTCAATAATTTCTTGGACTTTGTATTCCTCTTGATTGTCAACTAAAATAGGAGCTGGAAAAGGAGGTGATAAAGAGGAAGATCTATTACAGATCTTGAGTTTTAGAAGAGAAATGTGGAAGGTAATAGAAATACAAAGACTTAGGTACGGCAAAGGTGTAAGCCCCTAGTTTTACCCAACAGATAACAAAATATGGTTTCATGTACAGGCTGGACAAAAGTGGTAAGTGGTGTCCCTCAGGGTTCTGTTTTGAGACCGCTTCTATTTAACATATTTATAAATGATCTTGAAATAGGCATTGAAATCCATGTTTCAGTGTTTGCAGATGACACAAAACTTAAGTAATAAAATGTGAGCAGGATATTGCTTTTCTGCAGAGGGATCTGGATACATTGGGGAACTGGGCACTAAAATGAGAAATGCAAAGTTATGCACTTCGGGGAAAAGAATGCACAAGCAACTTACACCCTAAATAGTGAATTAGGGATAACCACACACGAGAAGGATTTGGGAATTGTTATAGACAACAAATTAGGCAGCAATATGCAATGTCAATCTGCAGTTGCTAAGGCCATTAAGGTTTTGTCATGTATAAACAGGGGCATAAATTCTCGGGATGAAAATATAATTTTGCCTCTTCATAAAGCGCTGGTAAGACAACACCTTGAATATGCTGTGCAATTTTTAGCACCTGTTCTAAAGAAGGATATCATGGCACTAGAAAGGGCAGAGACGAGCTACAAAATTGATAAAAGGAATGGAGCATTTTAGTTACGATGAAAGGTTAAATTTTTTTTATCTCTTTAGTTTGTAAAAACGGCACCTCAGAGGGGATATGATAACATTATACAAATAAGGTGTTTAATGTGTGGATCCAAAAGGACTCCTTCTTTTTTAGCAAGCCTTGATGGTTGCCACCTCTCCTGAGTGGGGGCACATGGTCAATAACCTGAAAGCGCAATTGATATATATTGTGACTATGTTCCATAAAATGTGCAGGAATAGGTAATTCCTTTTGTCTAGTTCTAATAGTTGATTTATGCTTATTAAGTCTCTCACAGACCTTCATAGTGGTCTATGGATAGCCACGACTTAGAACAAGTTTCTAAGTCGTGGCTATCCAGCTACACTCTTGAATTCTGAAAAAGAAAACGTATTAGGCATTGAAAGGGATTCCTTGTTGAGACCCAAATTCATCCCCAAA